TAGCCTGGGAATAAAAACACCATACTAATTAGGGGACACTGCTAAAAAACTATACCAATACTAATATTAACACAATAAGAAAATAAATGACTTAAAGGGCATTATGTGCAGCAAAAACAGAAATTAAATGAGAGCGTTTCTTTTATTTGTTATGTAATGTGATGTATACTTAATTGGCCACTCCCCATTGGGGCTTTTCAGGACCAATGCAAACAAACAATGATAAATAAATATTCAAATAAACATAACTAGGTTAAGAATCCCAACTGGCGGGAGGCAGACCAGTTGGCTATTTACAAGCGCAGCCGAGAAGTTAAACTCGGGGCTACCGATAACAACATCAGCTAGCGATCAGAACGGGATTTGAACCCAGGACCTACCGATTTCAAATCCGGCGCTCTGACTACTCGGCCACGCTGCCTCCTTATGTCTTCGAGTGTACCCTAAAGGATACTTTGACAGCGAAAAATGGTGACGTTTCGTCATCAACGCTCTAAGTGAGACCAGAATCCTTGATTTGTACCCGAGACGACGAGCATCCCCAACCTTCTCATTTAGGAGAGTTCCCCCAGCTGTCGAACATCAGCCGCCTAAGGCCGTTTTACAGTCGCTTGTGCCGTGTCAAGTTAATTATTTTTTGATTGCTGACCGAAGTACTCAATATCTTACTGCAGGAAATGCTCTACATTGAATAAATTTTCGCAGGTACGTTTTTAACTTGGAAAACATTATTGTCCAAGTTGTACTGGTGAAGCGATTTCACTCCATCACTCCTTTACTCCTTTACTTCCTGTCAGACATTTGGAACATTTCGCACGAATGTGTTTATAAATAGAAGCTACCCGTACGTAATTACCCAGGCAGTGAGACCTGGGTTTAAATTTCGGCTTCGTTTTTTTTACCACGTTCAGTCACAAATCGCCGTCTGGTCTGTAAAGCACACGCGTCACCTGTGCATGCGTACAGCACATGGCATTTACAGAAGCTGTCGTCGTGAGAAGTTAGCACGGATTCCATGATTTCAAGGGCGATGAAATCACATACAAACGAACACACCGTTTGAGGCAGACCAACACTACGGGACGTTAAGCGTTTTCGGAACGGGTCGGTCAGCAAGTCTTACGAGAGATCAATTTACGAGCGAACATTTTGAGTGAATTTATCAAGAATCATGTCATACCAAAGGGGCCATCATCCGGGGCTATCAACTCTTCAACTTGATAAAAAGCATCTTCACAAGCGTCATCGTATTTTTAGACGTGATCGCGAACCAAGCAGAATCCCAGCTCGAACTCAAGAACGTCTGAGCAACACGAGCAGAAAGGTTAGAGAGTTTGTTTACGAATGTATCTGTTCGAGTACACCTAAGTAAAACGCTCCGATA